AGTTTGAATATAAGTCATGTCTAAGAGTGTTGTATTTGATATAAAGGTGAAGAAAAAAAAAATGAAAATAAGATAACCTAATTATATCAGACGTCAGTAAAAATAGGGTCACGTTTCAATGAATGTCATTTATTTATTAATTTGTAGATTTACTTCATATTTCAATCAGGTGTTGTAATGTCTTAGAGCTTCTTAGGTGTTCTATTTTAGTAATATAATCTCTGAAACTTATTGAAATCAAACATTATAATCTGAGACAAAATCTCCATAATGTTCGTAAAAATAAATCTGTGAATTCACTTGATCAAATCATTGACTGAAAATTATTTCTTAAAAATTCAGATTTATAATGCCAGTGACAGTTAAATTATAAGTTTCATATATTTGTGCATGTCTGCATTTTCTTCAGTAAGTCTAGTTCCTCCTGATCTTCTAATTTTCTTTCAAATATTAAAATATTAACCTTAACACAGAGGCCCTGCTGTTAATTTCATAATTTGAATTTTTTTTAATGAACATAAACTAAATAATAGCTGTCTGTATTGATTTTATTCATAAATACAAAAATTCAGTCTCAGTCATTAACTTAATTAACGAGATTGAAGAAAAATCTACCTCCTTGAAGTTTTTAATAGTTTTACCCTACAGATACAGTCAAACCTGTTTTTTAAACGACCTCCAACTAAAGACTACCCTGTAAATGAAAGTCATTTTTCGACAAACCTCCTTTGATTACATAGTACAGATTAACCTATAAATAAAGACAACTTGTTTATAAAGGCCACATTAAATCTCTCCTTTAGGTGGCCTACATTCACAAGTTTGACTGTACTTTTATTTTGAGGGTACAAGTTACTGGTACATATGTTTTTACAAGCCCCATAAGACTGATTTGATTACAATAATTATTGTTCTTTGATAATATTTGTGATGCAACCTGTCTGTGTGGCACGTGATTTAATGGACTGGAATGTTTATATTTAGATATCATTGCCAGGGGTTTTTATATGTGATAAATAACATATGTATTGATAATGTGAATTTTTTGCAGAATTAAAAAACAAACAAAATGTGAATTTAGCTGTAAATGTATAGATTATCTTGTAACGGGAGAATGGGACAAGATATGTAGGGTGCATTCAATATGACTGTGCAGGGAAGAATGTATTTCTCACACAGAATGGGATACTTCTGATGGGAACAGCAATAAAATTTTGATAGAAAATCTGTGTAAATTCTTATGATATTTTATCATATCTTTTATGATTTTCTTATCAAATCATATTTAAGAAAGATATATGAGTTTTTATTAAGCCCCTCTAGAAACATTGATAATATTTATAATGAATATCTATATATAAACATACAAATCACTTTTTGTATTGCTTTGCTTCTTTATTTTAAATGTGATTTGATTTACTAGTACCTGATAAATTAGTGTTTATTTTGCTACCAGCGTAGAGCCTGCAAATATGTGTAGCCTGACCTGAGGCTTGTTTAATTCTGTTTCTAGGTAATTGATAACTTGAAAACTTTAACTTTGAATGGACTGTTCCAAATTCAAAGCTTGAAAACTTTGAAATGACTGTTCCAAATTTAAGGCATGGCAAATTCATTACATAAACTCAGTAGAACATAAGTAAAGATTGAAATAATTGGAACTAGAAATGCACCAATAGGACATGGATGCCCCTCACATTCCTCTATTTTGTCTTAGGATAATAAGACTTGGCATGGCAAGAGGACAGCTTGATTGCTAGACTGAGGACCAATAGCAAATCTGTATGCCACCCCTACCTGTATGTTCCACCCCAACTCCCACCCTATATGTGGGAGCATAAAATGTAATTGTAGGACTCAGCAACTATATTTATTTTGTATGGCCTCAAATATTACATGTCTTACTTTTAAGTGGTACTTAAAGATTATCCTGGCAGATAAAAGAGCCATGATAGTATATCATTTTGACACTCATTAATATTTACGATTGTTTGATTGTTTTGTCTAAATGAGAGAAATATAAAACCTATCCAGTGATTAGCATTATGGCTTGCATCATTCATAACTATCTTTTTGTCTTTACCTTAGTTGTTTGTGTGAATCATGATACATTTAACAGAAATATTCATAGATAATAATTGATCACAAGCTTGTTCAACACAATCAAGGCTAGGAAAACACAAGCTTATGAAAATCAACAAAAGCATAAGCAAAGAACAGTTTCAATTGCCATACAGCATTAAGCATTGCAGCACATTTTTATCAGTCAAGCAAAGTAGCATGTACTAAAGTGTATTTTGATATAAGTCAAGCAAAGGAAACAAAACACTACAATCAAGGCAGGAAATGCGCAGTTCATCAAACACAATCAAGGCAAGAAAAGCACAATTTATTAAACACAATCAAGGCAAGAAAAGCACAATTTAGGTAAGAAAATTTGATTTTATTAAATGCAATTTAGGCAAGAAAACACATATTATCAACACACAAGGCAAGAAAAACACAGTTCATTTAACACAATCAAGGCAAGAAAAACACAATTTGTCAAACACAAGGCAAGAAAAGCACAATGGATGAAACACAGTCCGGGCAAATTCAACTTCTGCAAATTTGGGATAGAAGATACTTCAAGTTTTGACCTGTATTTTTCTACATTTTTACATAGCAAACTGTCACCTTTTGAGACAGTGAACTGCAAAATTATTATGCTCTTGACAATGTGGTCATGTTATCTTAATATTAATGTAATACTAATTCATATTTAAATCTTAAAGTAAATTAGCCAGCCTTGTATAAACAGTGAAGGTGTATCCACTGTCACATTGGGAAATAAATATTGTTAACTTTAGATAAAAATGATGACAAGTTTTAGCAACATGACCGCTGCATCCGTAGATATTTGCACTTCACTATTAGATAATGATTTAATTCTTTTGTGTCTGTATGCAATAACATGTTAGTAACTTATGTCATTGTATGGAGAGCCACATTCACAAAAATGACATGCTCTCTGCTGAATTCTTAAAATCAACATTTTCTGTTATCTTTTGAAGGGTGTACGTGGCTAAGTGGTTTAGGTTGTTGACTTCAAACCACTTGCCCCTCACCGCTGTGAGTTTGAATACTGACAGGGATTTAGATTCTTTCATGTAGGGAAGCTATCAATCTGGAATGTCTCCATATGACATAATACTGTGTTGTTGTGATGTTAAGCTCAACCAAAAAAAGTTTTGGTTCTCCGGCAAAATTTTATGAATCTTTAACACAATTTTGTCCTTTTATTTTGAGAATTAGGAATGGATCAAAGTTTCTTGTTTCATAAATTCTAGCAGCAAAATGCTAAAATTTGGCAGCTGTGACCAGAGCTGCATTACTGGTACTGGTACTGCAGTACGTACTGCAGCGATTTTGCAAGTACTGGTACTGATACTGAATTACTCTTACAAAATTTTGCTACTACTGGTACTGGTACTGCATTACTGTCTTAAAAAGTGGTACTGCTACTGCATTACCCAGTACTTTTGGTTTTGATAAAAATTAAAAATAGCATCAATTGTTCTCATAAAATAAAGCTGTAAATTACATCAATTAAGCTGTTAATTAACTATATTTTATTTTTGTGAAAAAGTAAGTTATTAAATCTAAAGATAATTTGCTGCAATATTCCTTCAAATGTTAACATAGTATTCATCATAAAAAGCACCAAAGACTTTAAGTAAAAAATTAAATAAGATAAACAGACTCAATAACTCTTTACCCTAAAATATCCTTATTAAAATCTTTTATTACTTTGTATTTACTAGTAAAAGAGCAAAATAAACACTAATTAATTTCTTCTATTCTAAATAATCCCATTTCAAGTGAAAAAAGTGATATTGTTAGCACCATAAAAAGTTGTTATTTACTTTGGTATAAATTGAACAGAGGTGTGAAGGTGTGAAAGGCAACAAAAGACTGTTGTGTTTTAAATGAAAGATGATTGCATTGTATTACCTTCCGTGGCCGAGTGGTTAAAGTCGTTGACTTGAGATCACAGGTCCCTCACCACTGTAGGTTCGATCCTCACTCGGGTTGAAATCTTTCATGTGAGGAAGCCATCCAGCTGGCTTACGGAAGGTCGGTGGTTCTACCCAGGTGCCCGCTCGTGCCTGAAATAATGCCCGGAGGGGCACCTGGGGTCTTCCTCCACCAATAAAGCTGGAAAAAATCGACGAAAAATCTCGGCGGGACGCTCTAGGATGACCCGACTTGAGTGAACGGTCGCCCATATGGGCTTTCCGGCGGCGACCTTAAATAAACGCATCAAAAAAAAAAAATGAAAGATGTTTGCATTGTATTTATACAGTTGACTGGTTACTGAACAATTAGAAATGACATGAATACATGTTGTAAATATTGTTTGTAAAAAGTATGTTAAAACTATAAAGTTGTAAATATGTTATGTTAACTTCAAAGTAAATTATGATTTTATTTCTTTGCTGAATCATATTTGCAATTATTTGTTTGACACTGTATTTATTCAAACTTTGATGAATATAATTATAAAAGTAATGGTACTGATACTTAATTACTTCACCAAAAAAAGTACTGGTACTGCAGTACCTAGCTAAAATCTAGTACTGGTACTGGTAATGGTACTGCATAATTTGCCAAGTACTGGTACTGGTACTTAAATACTACACCCTTAGTACTGATGCAGCTCTGGCTGTGACAGACTGCAACATACCTTAAGTGAATGCTGATTTATCAAGGAAAGAAAAATTGTGTACACAAACCAGCATGGACCTTTTCCGAATTATTTGATATTTTAATATTTACAATCCTAGAATAATTAGGGTCAGCTTTGTCATCTGTCTTGTCTGTTGTTCTATATTTATTCTTGTATATGAATAAAAGCTTCGTCAGTATTTTAATTTTGAGTTTTGAAATGATTATTACATATGAATAAATATTTTAGATACCATGATAATTATTTGTGTGTTATTTTATTCTACTTTTAGTGGACACCTACCTGTTCCAGGAAGTACAGTCAACACCGTCCAGTCGTAACCTTCACCCTAATCTTCATCCAGGCATCCTGAACATATCCCACAATGTGTCACCAGGTAAAAAAAACTCAATAAACAAGGGAGGCAATTCTGTAATGACTGATTATACTATTTATTTGAGTTGTTTCCCTTGTGCTATATTTTAGTGGGGCATGATATATAACGAACAGCTAAAAGGGCTCTAATATTGATGTCAAATTGATGGCTGATAGATATTTTAGTGCAGTGTTTAAATACTGTTATTATAACAAGTAACATTGATAAATATTCATAATATCATGTTAAGACAATTTAAATACATGAAGACAATTTGAATATGAAAGAACTCGTATTAACTATAGTTATTTCTCTTATTTACACTGTTAACTACTGTTTAAAAAAACCTTTTACAATGGTCAACCAGAAAAAAATTGGGGCAATTGTGGCCTCTAATTGGAGACAAGATAATCTCCAGTTGTTTGTTCCATTATATTCCTAGGTTTTAAAGCCAAACCTTTTTTAAATTGATCTTTGATAATCATTGTCAATACCTTGAAATATTTTCTCTGTTTAAGTCTTTCTTTAAAAACATAATTTTTTCAAAGTCTTATTGAAAGATAACTACATTAAATGGATTTAATGATGGAAAAAAAAATTGAAATATATATACGGAATATTATGTTGTAGTAGCTTTCTGATGCTTTGTATTTTTCTACGAGCAGCGGTGGAAAATTGATATCTTGCGAGACCGAAGGTCGAGCGAGATATCAATTTTCCAACGTTGGGAGTAGAAAAATACATAGTCTCAGAAAGCTACTATAACATAATTTTCCTTTTATTATATACCTTTTCGTTTTATTCAGAAAATGAAATGCATTTGTCAAGAAATAAATTCATGACTGACGGATGAATACGTAATTCTTGCAAACTGGCCACGCCTTTAATAATTTTGGTTCCCGTTTCCAAATGCAACGTTATACAAGGCTTAGATCGGAACCAACGTCAAAAATAGTCCGGCACTTCCATATATGGTACCGTATTTGTCACTAACATAATACGGAAATTTCTATCCGCTGAAGCGTATTTGCGCTTCAATATTTGCGTGTATTTTAGCGAGAAAATTTATAGGTTTATAATAAAATGTTATATATGGTTTTTTCATTTAAATTTAATTTTATATATGTTTCAGAATATACAAAGCGTGTTGATCAACCAGACGATAATAATGGATCCTCCACGCACATATTCTACATTGCTGTCGGTTGTGTTTGCGCCTTCATTATTTTCGTGGCTCTGGCAGTGGCCGTGTACTACGTCAACTCGCAGAAATCTACGAACCGAGCCTATGCTGAAAGAATTAGGTAAATTATGAGACCTAGGTATATTATGATATAGTTGTTCCCCCTTTAGGCTGACCCATACTTGATCATAAGAGGCGACTCAATGGGTTCAAATAAATGGTGTCTATGCATCTCTTAGCTCCAGCAGGTGAGGTGGTTTTGACCCCTTGTGTTGCTTTTAGTTTGTAACACCAAAGGTAAGCCAAAATCATGTCTCCTGTTACAAACCTCCTTGACTAAACATGCTGGGGACGACTAGTTCTTTCCATGCAACCTGTGCAGACCAAGGTCATCCAACACATCCGTGGTCTGCACTGTTTTTCTATTCTGAGTGAGTACATATTAAGGAAAATTTTTTGATTAAAATGATCAATTATTATGTTGGCAAATTTATTTAAGATATTTAGCATGGTATGGGTTCAAACAAAATGCAAATTAGAACACCCTGTCTGCTGATATTAAAACATTAACACTGCTGTAATGATTTATCAGATTACCTGATAAAGTTCTGTTTATATTCATTTAAGGGTGCAATTTTACCATGTTTAGGTGGGTTTATTGTAGTTTAAACAAAACAGTTCTTTAAGACTTATTGCTTAAACATATATTTACCATATTTCTGTATGCAAAATGGCCACATCTGCTGGAGTAATGTCAAATAATTCAAATAACAGCTGCCTAAGTTTGATTAGGAATTGCATATTAGACACATTACTGCATTTAATTTGTATAAAAAATTCTCATGTACAAAAGGGATACAATAAAGAGAGCTTAATGCAACTTGTTTTAGGTACATATGTATATAAAGCAAACAGCAACAAATCTGTAATTCTACATCATTTATGCAATTTTTGGTGAGCTGTTTACTCAACATTATAAATTTCTGAAAATGTTTTTGAAAGAGCCCAACAAATAAAACTGATTTTACAGTAGATATTTGTGTATTAAAATAGACCTTTTAGTATGAGTTAAGATTACTATATAACAAATACCCTAATCTTTTGGGTATACTTTGATGTTGTTTTCATCCAAATTCATATCTTAAAATAAGACTTGTTCAGTTGTCTATTACACAAGAATTGAACTCGACTAAGTTTAAAATTTATACGATTTCGAAAATTTTCATATATTTGTGTATGCATCAAAGAACAAGCTACATTTCTCAAATTCAATATTTTCCATGTTTCAAGCAGCTGTTGTAGAATTTTTCTTTATATTTTCAGTGACACAAGCAGCTCCCAAGCGCTGACTCAACAAACACAGTCCTTTCTCAGAGCAGACACACCAAATAAAAGTTTAGCAGGATCTCGTAAGTTTATAAATGCAAAATAATTTTTCTCAAATCTTTTTTTGTCACGCAACAAAAATATCTTATATTGTTATAAGTGGACATTTAGTTTTACGAAAATATTTTTTCTTTGTCACCAAAAGAAATCTTTTTATTCATATATTCATTTGAGTAGACTCTATTCTTTCAGTGAGAAGCTACCCTCGGGGAATTTCCCCGATACCCGAATTACGCCAACAGATACCAGCGCCCCCTATAGATCCATATGCAATGTTACAAGAGATAGCTATAGACCGATCAAGAATTTCAATGTCAGAAGTTATCATGGAAGGTATGCTTACTGTATTATTTGAAAACAATTTTGGGAAAAAAAGGAAACTATCTGACAGGCCGCGATGGTTTAAGCTACTTACTTACAATCATTTTTCTGCTCGTGACTTGGGAGTGTTTGAATCCTATCCAGGAATAAGCTCATTCTATAATATGAGGAATCTCATCAGCTGTTCTGCGTCCTCTGTCAGTTAAGGCTTTAATAGCACCATATTATCTACCAGTCTGAGTGTATATTAACGGAACTTAGATAAAAGTTACAAACATGAAATATTTTTTAAATCGCTGCGTATATAGCTTATCAGTCAAGGTTTTCATTTTTTTGTAATGCTTAATTATTGCAAATGTTTTTTAATGCTTTGATGCTTTACATAAATTCATTAGAACATATTGAATTACTGAATATCTTAGCATTAACTATAATCTTTGAACAAAGCTTGTGGGTAGCTGGGCGCCGAATGGCGGACAGAAAAAAAGGGCAGGGCGGAGCGCCCTTTCATTCCTCTAGAATAATCAATATAATCAGTAAGAATGTTCTAAGTTGGTTTGTTGTTCTACTTGCCTTCATAACGATAATTGTGTATAAACAAGGATAATGTAATGATAATTCTATCATTTGCCTTGATTTACAGGAACATTTGGAAAAGTTTCCTGTGGAACATTATTAAGTGAAGAAGATAGTCAAGTTGCTGATCAGGAAATATTTGTAAAAACAGTTACTGGTGAGATATATTACATCAATGTTACATTATTGGGTTTTGTTGGGTTGTTATTGGGTTATTATTGGGTTCTGTTGGGTTATTTTTTGGTTCTTTTGGGTTATTTTTGGGTGTTTGTTTGGTTTTAATTGGGTTCTGTTTGGTTATTGTTGGGTTATTATTGGGTTTTATTGGGTGTAAATTGGGTTCTGTTGGGTTAGAATTATTGAGTCCTTTTGAGTTTTTATTCCTAATAGTTGTCAGATGAAATAACTTAAAATTGTTACAACCAAATAAAAAGTGAATAGCATGTAGAGCTGCTTCAATTTTTAAGACTGACTGCTAGTATGGTACAGCTTTTTGGCATTTATGATTTTTGCTTCATTTCAGAACAAGCGCGGAGTGACCAGGTGCACGTGTTTCTTGTGGAAAGCTGTCTTATGAAAGGGTTACCTCATCCAAATATTCACCCAGTCATAGGAGCATGTATTCACGAGAAATTACCACCCTATATTATATATCCATATTCCACAGAAGGAAATCTTAAAAAGTTTTTACAGAAATGTCGAATTTCTGACTGTAACTCTCATTATGTAAGTATCTTTTATTCAGCAGACGTTTGAATGAAATATCTTTGGAACAAGTCTTGAAATGAAGCATCTGATTGGCTGATTCTGATTAACATTTTTGAAATTGACCAATGATTAACTTCGTATTTTAAACTGGTAGCTGCCATAAAAATTTGAAAGCATAAACTTGGTGAAAACTTGACTGTACTTCATTAAAAAAGATCAATATGTTCTTTTCGATATTGGCATGGTTTCATAGCAATGCTTGATAATTTAGAGGATGTTTTTTGTCAGTTTGAAGTAAGTGGAAAACTTTATTTTGAGAACCAAGAACTTACGTTGTCTTAGGTCATACAAATGTGTTTGTTTATTAAATTCTGTGACCTGAAATTTTTACCAAATTAAAACATTGGTTAATGAATCGAAGATTGTTACTGTGAATTCATATGATTAAAGGCTAGAACATTCTGTAATTTACTACTTCTGCATTATTTTAGGATAACATATATTTTAATTTTTTAGTTGATAGAATGAAAAGACAAACACATAAAAATGTGTCTTTGTTGAAAAAAAACTCAACATATTACAGTGCTTTTTCTATAGTTTTTTTTAAATTTAAACAGAGTATACACACACTTTTTATTGTTTTTGAAATTTACACAAAGTATGCAAACATACATAGATTGACATTAAAGTTACATTTTGTATTTCATGCTTTTATCTTCCAGTCATTATCTACTCAACAAATTGTATACATGGCGATACAGGTCATCAGGGGTATTCAGTTCTTACATAGAAAGAAAATTGTACATAAAGACATAGCAGCTAGAAATTGTGTGTAAGTATTTCTTAATGTCAACTATGAGAGGAATCCATCCAGTTAGCATAAGGACCTCGGGTTTGCATGTTATGGTCTTGAGTGACCTGATTTAATTTAGTGTCATACTTGTCCAGAGGGCATATAGATAGATAGACCCCAGGGTCTGTGAGTGCATGCCTTTGGTTAGCCAATTAATGTCATACATAATTATACTGAAAGCATTTAGGACAATGGACCCTAGCCTTGTGAGTCTGTGTGTCTTTGGTTAGCCCATTGATGTCATGCATGTACTGAAAGCATTTAGGACTATCGACCCCAGTGTTTTGATTTTGAGTTGATTAAGGTCAAACATGTACAACAAGCTCTGCAGGGAAAGCACAAGGACTATAGGAAAAAAAATATTTTCATATTCGTCTAACAACATTACATAACATCCTTTCATGTGAAATTTACGTGAATTTTCCTTTTTTTATCCAAGTCAATCTAATTTGGGGAAAGTTTATAGCCGTAGAGATATTTTTGTGAGCAATTGCATTATTCTGATCATGCATTCCTTACAGGCTAAATTCTATGGGTGTTCAACTTTAAAAATCATTGTTGTTTTATAAATATGGTAATCAGTTTGCAGTTTGTTTAGCATTTATATTACTGAAAAAAAAAAATGTCTTCAGGAATGCAGAAAGGAAAAATCATCTTCCATTCGAAATGCACAACTAATGTGTGCAGATCCTTTTTTATAGCTTAAAGGAAAGAAAAAAAGGTTTTTTCGTGTTTGGTAATGCATTATGCATTGCTCATGGCTGTTGGTTTTTTGGACAATCTGTGATAGGAAATGAATTTTTTAACTGAAAAAGAAATCAGACTGTCTTGTAAACAGGGAAAGGAACTGAATATTGCCTATTTTATGACATTACACGCATAAACAATAATAACGTTATTTATGTGATGTTTTCATTTTAGATAGATTTATATTAAACATGTTGCAGAAATGTTATAAAGCTTGCCACAGACTTGGCTTACCACAGAAATATTGTATATCATTATTCTAAACCCTTGATATAAGTGTATATGAAATAATAAAACATGTATATCATGAAAATATAAAGATTTTTATTTGAGCCACATCACAACAAAACCAACATAATGGGTTTGCGACCAGCATGGATCCAGACCAGCCTGCACATCCGCGCAGTCTGATCAGGATCCATGCTGTTCGCTTACAAACCCTATTACAAGTAGATAAAGTGATAGGGAACAGCATGGATCTTGATCAGACTGCGCGGATGCGCAGGCTGGTCTGGATCCATGCTGGTCGCAAACGCACTATGTTGGTTTTGTCATGACACGGCTATTTGTGTATATTTACAGTGTTGAGAGTGATTTGATAGTCAAGTTAACGGACAATTCATTGGCGAGAGATTTGTTCCCGGGAGATTACAACTGTCTAGGGGATAATGAGAACCGGCCGGTAAAATGGCTGTCAATAGAGGCAATAACAGAGCGGAGATTCTCACCTCCATCTGATGTGGTGAGTCCCCTTTGTCATTTTGTTTGTCAGTGGACCCGTTGATGACATTTTTTATCAGTAGATGTATCACATATATGAAAGCTGTTGAAATTGCTTGTAGTTAGAGCCATTTGGTTAGCGTTGGACTGTGAATCAGGCAAATCAGGTTTGATTGCAGGACGGTGCAGGTCACTTTTATTGTGATTGATCATGAAATCCTTTCTACAGTCATTCACACTGTACCTCTGCTCTTGCATGTATAGAAGTTACAGTTCCTTGCGAAAGTGAAGGCAACTAGTACTGGTAAACTGACAGCCTGCCCAGGAACGATGCGTAGGTAGGAGTGTTCTAGTAAATTCGAAATTATGGCTTACTGCCATGATCCTGAGTGAAAACTACCAATATCACTACCACCAGTTTGTAGTTAGGCTAGTGGATCTACCTTCAATGCACCCTTGTATACCTAAAAATGGTCCATCATGAAAGTTTAAAAAAAAAAAAAAATTCAATTGCAATGTTACAAAAATCAAAAATCATTACCTGCATTGTGTGTCCATATTATCATGCCTAAAATGGCCAGAAATCTTAAAAGACATATCCTGAAAGGTAATTAATGAACTGAACTAAAATAATCAGTTTGTTGGACAAAGGATAAGTTTTCTGAAAGATTTTGAATATTTTGTATTTGTAAAATAAGGATTTATAAAAGTAAGCTATAATTATCGCAGTATTGGACATATTCGATTAAAGGACTTCATGTATTAGCGTTGGAAAAATGATAATAGAATAGTAATTTTGGTCAATTAAATAGTAATTTCAGTCTTAATGTGCATAACACTGGCAAAGTACCAGACAGATTTTAAAGTAATATTATACATTTCTGAAACATTTTATATAGTTATGTTAATTTCTTTATTTAAAAAATTTGTTACTTCTTATGAAGTTGTGTAGTTTTATAAGTTATAGGTATTATAAAAGATTACATCGTAGCGGTGGCTTAGTGGTTAAGGTGTCTTTCTCTCAACCCGGGGATCATGGGTTTGAGCTCTACTCAGGTCATTACTATGTTGCTTCATATGACACCAGTACTGGTTGGTTCAAGGAAGTGGACTTGAAAGTGATTAATATAAGTTGCAAGAACTTGTTTCGCAATCAAACTTAACTGAATATGTTTAAACTAACTTATTATTTATATATTTTATATATTTTACCAAAATTTCAGTGGTCATTTGGAGTAGTATTATGGGAGTTGGTGACGTTAGCCCAGCAGCCGTACCCTGACATAGATCCATTTGAGATGGCTGCATATCTTCACGAGGGATACAGACTGGCACAACCACCCAACTGCCCGGATGAAATGTAAGATCAAACTTCATTGCATATGAGAGTTTATTTTCTTGTTTTTGCATCAAAGGCAAAAAAATGTCATGTTGCACTCTTAAGGTGTATGATAATCCTCATGCTTATTACAGTGCCATTCTGTTAAAGTTATATACATGTTGTGAATAAGTCATACTGCCAACCTGTCTAGCTCAATAGATTTGTAATCAAGGGGTCTCTGGTTCAATTTTTGGATGAGACAAAAATATCTCTGTGACAATGTTTTATTTAGTTGGGTTTTACGTCACACCGACACATTATAGGTCATATGGCGGCATTCCAGCTTTACTGGTGGAGGAAGACCTCAGGTGCCCTTACATGCATCATTTCAGGCACGAACGGCACCTGAGTGGAACCACCGGTGTACCATAAGCCAGCCTGATAGCTTCCTCACATGAAAGAATCCAATGTCCCTGTCGTGATTCGAACCTACAGTGGCGTGGGGCAAGTGGTTTGAAGTCAATGACTTTAACCACTCGGCCACAGACGATAATTTATATGAAACATTGAGTCTAATGGTCATTTGTCCCTCACCACTGATTCATAAATCTTACGTTCATTGCGGAGAAATTGGTAATTACTGGTAAGTTCTTCAGGGAAGTTTATAATAAATGACGAAAAATATGTTGCAATCACCATAAATAAAAGCAGACGAGACAAAAACAAACGAATAAGTCAAATGCTGAGAAGGATAGCGTTCATTTATCAAATACATTACAAGGAAATGATATATATATTTCAGGTATTCTGTGATGGCATGCTGCTGGGCAATGAATCCCGAAGAACGTCCCAAATTTTCTCAACTGCTGGCATGTTTACAAGACTTTTACACAGCTCTCGGTAGATTCATCTGAACATGTAGAATTCCATATATGTTTGTTATGTGCCAGTTATTCTTATTGTGTGACAAAATGAAACTAAAAAATTTGCGCCAGTATTTTAAGACAAGACAAAGTTTAAAATGTCGGAACACACGTGTTTCACTGTCTTTGAAACGTGGGAAAGTACATAGTACATTGTGCATGTTTTGCCATGTTTAAAGTGTGAACTATTGCTGTTAAGCAAAGGTGAACTATTGCTGTTAAGCAAAGGTGAACTATTGCTGTTAAGCAAAGGCATGGGCCAGAGTTTGAAAATATTTTTTATATTTTGAAGACATCGACAAAGGGTACTGATCAGTTGTTAGATGACTTATGTAGGTCCATTGTTTTCCTTAGAAGGTACAAAGGTGATGCAGCTTCGGAAACGTGTTGTATTTGGGATATGTCAGTACAGAAATAGAAATAGAGTGTAACTGATTTCAGTAGAATAAAGGGAAAGGTCTGTAAAATGTGGCATTCAGAAGTGGATAGAAAGTGACAATATCTACGAATTCAAGAAGATACATAACTAAATGCTGCTTGAATGAATTATTTGGCCTAAAGCGTCAGAAAGCCCTGTACACACAGGTTATATTTATTTGGCAAAAATTATTAAGTTAAACCAATATGTAAAGGGCATGGAATTTTTGCATAAAGAGAGCTCTATGTAGAGGAAAAACAATTTCAACCTCAGAGACCTATAATATATAAGGGCATAAATTTTGGCCTAAAGAGTCCTGTGCATAGATTGCATAACAATATGGCCTAATATAAGTTACATATAGAGAGAACAAATGATGGAAATGGATTCTGAGGTTTGGGGAGAAAATCTAGCTCAGATAATTTGAGATGTAATACTAAGTGTTTATATTTAGACAGTTAGTGTCTAACAATATTTTCATTTCTAGATGCGTGCTTGCATAGTTCCAGTATTCATATTAGAATCTTATCATACATTGCCTGATTTTGATAGGCTTATATCTAGGTAATTATTTTGTGTAATGCATTATATTTTTTATCAAGTGTTCAAGTATTTTTTCGTAGAATCCAGGTTGTGTGAGCAAGGTATTTCACTAATTATTATTTTCAGTGTCAATTTATTTTACCTCGGAGTAATGTTTTGTAATTGAAACTGAATTTATCTGTGTTTAAAGTGTTCTCCAATCATGTAACAGAATGATATAGGATAAAATATAGCCCCCTGGTGCATCCCTGGAAATAATGTATAGAGGGATATGAGATAAATTGCATATTTGTGAGTTTTGGGTATTAAATTCTCATGATTGTTGAAATAGGGAAAAACTAAAAATTTATTTAATTGAGCTTTTAATGTTTTGGGTTGTGTTTTTTTTTTACATACAATAAAATGCATGTTTCAAAGTATTATTTGGTATAAATGCAGTCAGACCTATCATCATAGGGGATTTTTTTTTATGAAAAAAAGCATTAATTGAAAATATATCACAATTTAAACAAAATGTGCACTTAGTCCCAATTTTTGAACATTTACAGTGCAAAATAATATTTTTTGGGGAACCAATTTGTCAATCAAGTAAACATTTTAGACAGGGCTTACTAAAAATTGATATGTAAACCTAATCAGTTGAATGGAAAACATTATTTCATGTTGTATTGCTGTTGAACATAGGCACAGATTGTGAGTTTTTACCTTACCCTTCCTAATTGTGTTGCTTCTAAATAAAATATTTTTGATGATATCTTGGTTAAACTCCAAAGATGAAAAGAGATGTAACAAGAAATTAGATTTATTTTTGTATGATATGTCGGTTGAATTTAGATCAAGTTTTGAACTTATTTTACCTTTCCCTACCCTACCCGTTTTTTTAGCAGTGGCATTTGAATCAAATACATTTCGGCATTGATTATACATTGTTTTTTCTACTTTTTACCTGGGATATAATGTAAATGGGACAAGATATTTCTGACAAGATGAGTGATGCATAGTATTTAATTCATATACTAATACTGTTGATACTTTTTCATGATACCATATTCAGACCAAACAGATACAAAGGACTATAAAAACTTATATGCCAGTTAGTTTATATTTCACTAATATAAAAAATTTACTACAGACATAAAAAATCATTTCACAATGACCAACAAGGTAAAATTGTGGTGCATGCATCCTAATAGACAAAAGGCTTATCTGTACTTATCTCCAGTTGCTTTGTCACAAATATATTATAACCCAATTTTTTTTTTCTAGAGAAAAGTGTGAAATACCTGGAAACAAATGTTAATAGTTTCTTCGTTGTCATACCTTGCTTAATGTTACTGCTGAAAATTCATTTGCTAAGTGCTCTTTTTCTTCTTACTGCTGACTTCTTTACTAATTGCTTAATTCAAAGAGATTATATGTAAATTCTATTTGTGACTTTAAACTTTAAAGAAGGCATTAACTTATTCTTGTTGTCAAAATGTACAACCCCCTGAAAACATGTTTATGATAGAGTTTGTACCCGTATATTTTTGTATGAGTCTGTTTGTGTGAAAGTACAAGATAATAACGGTTTGAAAATTTACTGTTAATTCTGTATATCAGTATTAATTTCTAGATTTATCCTAGTAACAATATCTTTAACATTTGATGTTCTGTGAGAATGTGGAAGATGCTCTACATGACTATTTTGATGAATCGGTGCAAAAGGGACTTAACTCATTCATTATGTACTATGAGTTACATCTGTTTTGCACTGAACCCTTGATTTGTACTTTTATTAGATAATGTCCTGTCATGTTGATCAACATGACTGGTTAAATTCAACTGTTGCGTTTTAGGGTAAGCAGCAAAGAAAATGTTTTTTTGTTGTTTTTTGTGTCGCCTCTACGGAGTAGTGGCGACATATAGGGATCACTTCTCCGTCGTCTGTCTGTCCGTCTGTCCGTCTGTCTGTCTGTCTGTCTGTCCGTCCGTCCGTCACAAAACTTGTCCGGACTACTCCTCATAAACTACTGGTGCAATTTCATCCAAACTTTACAGGAATGATCAGTACCAAGTCTAGTTGTGCATATTGTCAGGATTTTCCGGTTCAATGATTTTTGTCAGAGTTATGGCCCTTTAATAATTTTTGATTTTAAAGTTTGTCCGGACTACTTCTCTTATACCACTAATGCAATTTAAATGAAACTTTACAGGATTGATCTGTAGCTCAAGTCCTTGCGCATATTGCACAGGTTTTCCGGTTGAATGATTTTTGGCCGAGTTATTGCCCTTTGATAAAAAGGTTTCTTTTTCTGTGTGTTGCCAGATACACAAAAGCTTGTCCGGACTACTCCTCATAAACTACTGGTGCAATTTCATCCAAACTTCACACGAATGATCAGTACCAAGTCTAGTTGTGCATATTGTCAGTATTTTCTGGTTCAATGATTTTTGTTTGAGTTATGGCCCTTTAAAAATTTTTATTTTTAAAGTTTGTCCAGACTACTTCTCTTATACCACTTATGCAATTTCAATGAAACTTTACAGGATTGATCTGTAGCTCAAGTCCTTGCGCATATTGCACGGGTTTTCCGGTTGAATGATTTTTGGCCGAGTTATGGCCCTTTGATAAAAAGGTGTTTTTTTCTGTGTGTTGCCAGATACGCAAAAGCTTGTCCGGACTACTCCTCATAAACTACTGGTGCAATTTTATCCAAACTTTACAGGAATGATCAGTACAAAGTGGTTAGTCTAGTTGTGCACTGTCCGTCTGTCTGTCCGTCTGTCACAAAATTTGTCCCAACATGAAATTGGCCATCATGAGGCGACACATGTGATTACTGATCGCTCTTGTTTTAATAAAAAACAATGTATTTAAAACTGTTGTATTTTCAGATTTAAATGGTCTTCCTTTTAGTCCAGTGACATTTGAAAGAAGTTCTATATTATTTAGGTAAAAATCATGTTTTCCTGTATGATAACAGTTTAATACATTGTTACAGAAGTACCTTACGCTCTCAAATTACATCAGAATTTAACTAAAATGTAAAATTTTAAGGAAGATAGATTCATAAGACACAGCAGTTCCAATGCAATTCTGGATTATTTCAGTCCTTAGTCACCGGGATTTTAAAAGTTTTATGTATTTACAACTTTGGTGATGAGCAAGTTTGAGTAATTGGCTTACTTTACTGAAAATGAAGAAAAAAGGCTTTTAGAAATAATTGTTACAAAGTCTGGAGTTTAAATGTGTTTAGTGACTTTTGATGACAGGTTAGATATGTATGTAAATGATAAAAATGATACTTCATTTGTTTGAAATGTAAACCAGTCTATTTATTCTTTACAGTGATTGGTCAGTTTGAAATATTTTTGAATACAAACCAATCAGATTCTTGAAATTGCAGACTGGTGAACAAAATTCTGATTCACCAAATTCTATTACTTGTATTTTCATTATTCTTGAAAAACTGTTTATGTTTAAGGTTATTACATGTTTGTATTTGTTTATGTGTTTAAATTGCTTGGTAGCAATGTGTTTATAATGTTGTTTGTAATATAAGAAACCCCCCTTTAATGTGCCAAATTTTCATTATTTTTTCATAAAACCTTTAGTATTTATACTTTGTAACAATGTCCGTTCCTATTTTTATATGCTCATTATTATATGTGTTTTAAATTACAATCTCCTGAAGAAGGTTTAGCGTAGATTCTGTCATAAATTTTTTGTTTGTTTTTAGAAAAAATATGATTTTGTTCAAGGCAGGTTATGTTATTGTTTGTTTTATCATTTTGTTTTTAGTAATGTGGTCTAGTTGGCTCAAAGCCATGAAATCATGTTGTTTCTTTTATCTTTGTTATTGCTTAGTTTTGAATTTGTTTTTTGTTTGTTCTGTGCATTCTGTGTTTCCTCTAAATGAAATCTGTCAGTCATGTTTGTTACAAAGAAGAACATATTTTATGGAAAAGGCATTTTTTTAGAAATCTAATTAATTGAAATTTTGAGAAAACACACATGCAATATAAAATTTTTAGAAAGAAATTCTGTCCATTTGATTCTACATGTTTAGGAAGAAAAATGAAATATCATATATATATATAAAGTCAGTTATTTCAATATAGTAAATTCTCTCTATTAAGACCACTAACAGGAATGACTCAAAGTGGTCTTAATAGTGAACTGGTCTTAATAGTTTAAGAATTGATGGTCTTAAAAGTGAATTAACTACTTTTAGAACTTATGCAGTCCAACAAAACTATATATTATAACATCTTTTGGTACTTACATCCAATAAATGTACGTCATGTTTCTGTAGCAAATATTTTTTATATAAAGAAACATTTTTTTATGTACATGTATCTATCACAGGAGGAAATTCTTTCTATAACAACCTGATCACCACAGCCTTGTACTTACTTAACCTTGTCTCTAATTTCTACCTTTAGTAAAAGGTTGTTTGTATTGTATTTAATATGTGCTATTTAAAAATCTTTTCTTTTTGTATGTGTTTTATTTCTTGTTTTTTTTCTCGTCTTATTCTTGACTTATAAAGTATTAATGAGCTATTTGAGTTTGTATGCAAAAGTGTTTTGTAAATTTTACGTAATGGTTATATATAAATATCTGATAGACCTTTTTACATTGTATCATATTTATGACTTTAATTTGGAAGAAAAATAAAAATTATGAATAAAAATGGTTTGAAGTTGTTCTTTTTTCACATCAAGAAGTTTATGAGTTACCTGCCATATGACCTATACTGTCTTTGTATACTTTGGTGTAAAGACAAACAAACTGCCTTCTAACTTCTCACAGACTTCTTATACTAACTTCCCATGCTTTAGGGTAGGTGAATGTATGGTTTTGTACTGTGTGTGCCAGATATTTTGCCTTGATATTTCACCAAATGATGTAGATTGTCTAAAACATGGAAGGTGATTAAATGCATAAAGGAAAGTATTTCTTGTGAATATGATTAAAAGGGACATTACTGCTATCAGCTTGTAACACAGTAGCTAAGGATTAAGTCCCTTTGACTCAATTGAAATAGTTGTGCTCTTAAATATATCTTCTTTTGATATTTGAAAGGGAAATTTTAAGAATTTGCTGTTGACTGTTTTTGTACAAATATAAACACCGGTGTTACTTCTACGCCACTTAAGGTATTAGCATCCTAATGCATTACCTCCGCGTTGAAGAGTATAACTACATTGAAAATGAGGGCCATGGGTTCAATCCCCAGAAGGGTCAACTTTTTTTTTCTTTCTTTTTTTCTTTTAACATTATTTATGTATCTCTCATGTCCCATTTGGAAAGAAAAAAGTGTTTAATTTTGATTTTTTAATTTATATAGGTAATAATATTATGCTAAATCTAGTAATAAATATGGTACCTGATATTTTCAAAGTGTAATATAATCAAAACTAGACGGTAAAAGTATTTCATATTTTACAAGATCAACCAATATACTTTTTTAAAAATTTAGGGAAACTTTGAAAACAGGCACTCATTTGGGTAAATTTTAAGAATTTTTTAAATTCGGCCCCTTAAGTAGAAAAATGGTCAGACACGTGGTAAAAATGGGTGGGGTAGGGTAACATTTTTATACAGATTTCATAAATTTTAAGTAGAAAACATAATTTTGCTTATGTGTATTGTTAGCTGAATGGTACTATTTGTTTCTTACCAAAAATTAATGGGAAAACATTTTTCATTAGAAAGTTATTGCAGATTATCTAAAAAAGGGCCCTCATAACATCCTAGCTTGAGTTCAGAAAAGTGGCCATAACTTGATTTCCGTACGGTAAACTTTGTTTAAATTTTGCATACAGGTGTACTTTAAGGTATACATCTGACCTATGATGTCAATTTTTTAGTTCCTTATAGTGCCCATTAGGGTCCTAATACCTTAAGGGACTGCTTTAAAGCATGTGTAATCCCTTCTCAAAGTATTTTTTTTTTTATTTTATGTGTTTGTCATTAATCTACCAACTTTTGTCTACAATATATTTTTATACTTGTCTGTGATTTGATTATACTGGTCTGCAATATGTTTATACTAACCTGGGATGTGTTAATACTGGTCTGCAATATGTACATACTGGTTTGCAATGTTTATTCTGGTATGCGATAAGCTTGTTTTGGTCTGCAATATGTCCATACTGGTTTGCAATATGTTTATACTGGTATGTTTGTATTGGTTTGTGATATGTTTATACTGGTCAACAATATGTTTATAATGGTCTGCAAAATATCTATACTGGTGTGCAATAACTTTAAACTGGTCTGCTATATAATTGTATCGGTCAGTGATATTTTTATACTGGTCTGCAATATGTTTATAGTGGTCTGCAATATGTTTATTAGTATGCAATTTGATTGTAGGATTCTGTTATATGTTGATACTGATCTGCAGTATGCTTATACTTAACAGTGATATATTTATACTGGTCTGTAATATGTTTACACTGATGTGTAATATGTTTTACACTGGTCTGCAATATGTTTATACTAACCTTGGATGTGTTAATACTGGCCTGCAATGTTTATACTGGTCTGCAATATGTACATACTGGTTTGCATTCATTTCTCCTACTTCGAATTAGTTGTAACTAGGAGTATCAATTTGTTTCTTTTTTGCTGTTTAAGAGAATGAAATTCCTATTAAGGCATAGCTCTTAATGGTGAAAAAGTCATTTCAAAAAACTACTTTACAAAATACTATTTTGGCTTTAAGGATAATGGGTTTTCTAAATTTCTAAAATGGTACTGTACTTAAACGTTATTTTCGACCATGCGACCACATACATGCATCGAGGACAAAGTATGGAAAGTGACCGTGCGACCACAAACACGCATCACGTGATTCCCTTCTCTTACG